GAATGACTCTAGTGCTTCCAAAAATGAACTAGTGTCATCTGTCGTAAACATGCTTCATAACTTTTCCGACAACCCAATACAATGGCTAAAAAATCTAGTTCTTGTAGATTGTTTTTTAGGGTCATAATTATTTTCAGTGAACATCCCACAGAAGAGTAATGCCAAGTGCTAAGAAGATTTTTTATTATTTTTTTAAGATTTAATTGGGGAATCAGGGACAGGGAACAGACAAGTTGCTGTCCTTTTGTTCTTCAGTTTAGTTGTGGAGGACATCGCTTCACTGGCCCATGTTGGTATTATCATTGTGCTCTTCCCGGGTGAGGCAGTTGCTCACTGGCCATTGGACGGCCGCTCACGGCGGCTCATGAAAGCTCACACCTGCTGCCGGCCAGCCCCACTGCAGCCTACACCATCGCTGTCACCTCTCGGCAGCCCAGCTCCAGGTCGAGCTGTTGTTCACCATCTTATGTTTAGAGGGTGCAGTGTCAATGGCCCTCATGTGGGATCCGAACCGGGGCCCTGCTGCTCAGAGCTGGTGTCCCAAGCCAACTCCTAACCTACACGCCACTCGGCAGGCTCTAAGAAGATTTTTTTTTTTTGCTTTGTGCCTTTAGGTCACAGGAGGCTCCAGTGGCATTGGAAAGTGTATTGCGATCGAGTGCTACAAACAAGGAGCATTCATAACTCTGGTTGCACGGAATGAGGTAGGTCTTCTAGGTGCATCGTTACTGACTTTCTCATTCAACCTTAAATTAGTCAGAGAGGCCCCATGGACATCCTGGTGTTGACACCCGCGCCGGAAATCGCTCCCATCTCTGGTTTGAGGTGCGATTCCTGAACCGCTGGTCATTTCAGGGCAAAAAGACTTATTTGCTGAAGTCAGGTCAGCTCCACTAATGTTTATTTAGTGCCAGCCACTATTAGGCAATCCCAGAGAGGCAGCAGAACTTGAGACGGCAGAGGCCAAGACAAACTTAGGCCACCGGAAGCCCTCGAGGGCCCTCCGCCCAGCAGATGTGCTGGCTTGCGAGCTGTTTCCTGAAGGATATGTCCATGCTTCTTTCTGATTTGCTTATGACATGATACACATCTCTGGGAAAATCCAGACCCCACAGAGAAGTCTCACTATTCCCCAGTTGTTTAGCAAAACATGTGTTTTGCTGTGTAAAGTTGACACAGGCATGTTTTTCTGAGTCAAGTTGATACAGGCTTGTTTTTCTTCTGATTCAGGGTCTGTTATTCTTGCCAGAGCTGCTTCCCTGGCCCAGAACGGTGACACTATTCACATGAACAGTCGCAGAGTCTCTAGCCCTATGGGGTGGGGGGAAGTGACAGGGCTCTAGTGTCAACTGCTGTTGTTCTGTGCCTGGCATAGTTGGCACACAGCAGGTGCTCAACGCATATTTGTTGAATGAAGACAGGAAGTGGGGCTGATGTTGGGAATGGGAACCCCAGCCCCTCACCGGTGCTTGGGGAGCCGGATTCCCCTGTGCAAAAGGGGGACAGTAGTACGATGACTGCCCAGGTAAGGGTGCTCAGAAGAGCAGAGCCCAGTGGGAACGGCAGGTCATGGAGGGCTNCTAGACTGAAGAACAAAACGACAGCAACTTGTCTGTTCCCCTTCCCCCAATTCCCCAGCACTGTTCCCATCCCCCAATTCCCCAATTAAAAAAAAAGAATTAACTGGCTTGACTGGAAGGTTAGTTTCCCATGAACCATGATCCAAAAGTTGAAGTCTTACTCTTGTTCTCATAGAAAAATCTTGTAAGTGATCAGGGTTGTACAGTTCTTTGCTGTGCATTAAATTTACCCAGCTAGCTGTACCTATTATAGTCTAGGAAAAGGACAAATAATAATAATAGCTAATATCTAGATAGCACTGTACAGCATATACATTCACTAAATAACCTCGTAACTTCAACTTTCATTAAGTCATTGAATAACAAATAGGGAAATTTTACTTACAAGTGTTCTTGTCATTGTATCTTTCAGAGAAATGTCACCATATACCATTTTGCAAGTTAATGTAGGCAAGTGTTTATTTAACAACTATTTATGCAAAGCACTGCTAGGAATGAGGGACCTAACTTGGACTTGGTACTTGTCCTCAAGGAACTTAGTGTGGCAAGGGAGCTAAGATATGTACATAAGTCACTGTGCACAGGGTAGAAGGTGACAGGTAAAGGATGCGACTGAGTGACAGCCAGGAAAAGCTTCTTGGAGGACGGGACATTGGAACTGGCCTCTGCAGGATAGGTAGGATGTTGGGTGGAGGGACATTGAGGCATCAGAAAGAACATAAAACGGGCATGACATTTTTAGGGGTCTTGGTAATTGCTATGGAATTGGAATGTCTGGTACAAATTAATAAACCAAAACCACCCATGAAATATCTCAGTAGCAGAGACCTCCTCAGAGGTGACCTTTCGCCTAGGCAACAAGTATGTTTTTACCATAACCTGTAGGTAATTGGTTAACGATCCTCCAAATAAATCTCAATGGTGGAAAGATGAAGAAGGGGATGCCTGGCAGTCGTGTGGAGGTCAGAACGTTAGAGGAGGGGGCTTCATGGAGATTTTTAAATGGAATGGGGTCGGAGATATTCCTTACAGCATGATCAATATGTAACAGTAAAATATTTGAAATAATCTAAATGCCTGGGGACATGGTTAAGTTTTGATAGATGCAATATTGTGAATCCTTTTAGTTTTTTGACATCAGACATTGACATAATTATTTTTTAAGTAGGATATAGTCCCCTGTAAAGACAGATGCGTCTCTGACACCTTCCTTCCGCTTCACCTGGCCCACATTATGTAACTTGCGTAGGGAAAAATGACTCGAAAGGTGATGTTGCATTTGTCTTATTAAGTTAAATCTGTATTGAATCCTTCCTATATGCCAGGCACTATGCTAAGTGCTAGGAATATAGTGGGGGAGCAAACATAAGAGTTGATATTTTTAATGGAGTTTTGGGGGCAGTGATAGAAAAGAGATGGTTGTGAATTAAGTAATCATGCAAATAAATCCATGGCTGATTCTGTGAGTGTAAAAAGGGGAAAAAAGGATGCAGTGCTGAAAAGTGGGTGGAGGTGAGGACGTGGCAGTCAGTGAGGCTTTCCTGAGGCAGTGATGTCTGAGCTGAGATTTGATGGGTGAGTAGGTGCCAGCTAGATGGAAGCGGGGAGGCGGGCATTCCTGGCAGGGGAAGTAGAATGTGCAGAGGCCCACTGGGTGGTTGGAGGGAGCATGGGACTGGAAGACAGCCAGTATGGCTGAGGCTTAGATGGTGAGGGGCAGAATCATGCAGGAAGAAAAGCTGTACTTTCCAGGATTTCCATAGAATACTTTATAATAAGCAGGCATTTAAAATACCAGAAGATAGTATGTCCCCTTTTTCATCTCTTGTAGAGCTAGTCGTGCATAGGAGGTTTGCAGAAAGGAAGTACTATTCAGTTGGATTTGGACTCAAAGGCAGACAAATGTATATATATATATATATATATATTTTTTTTAATTAAATGTATTGGGGTGACAATGGTTAGTAAAACTCCGTAGCTTTTCAAGTGTACAATTCTATAATACATCATCTATATGTCACATGTGTGCTCACCACTCAGAAGAATGTATTCTTTATTAGCTAGATTCATAGGACATTTGCCCTCCATCAAATTCAGAAAAATATTACAGGTGTGCAGTCGTTAGTTCAGTACTGGGGACGTTGGAAGAGGCGGGCCCTGCCGATAGTGCAGTGTTTCACGTTTGCGCATATCCCATTCATTAAGTCTGGNCCCCTCTCCCGCAGGGAGGCTGCGGCCGGGACCTGAGCCGAACGCCAGGGGGACTCGGGACCCCGGTGGCCGCAGCGGCGCGAACGGCTCCGGCCTCCGGGCTGCGGAGGCCCCGCCCCGCCGCGGTTGCGCCCTCCGCCGGCTCCGCCTCTTCCCCTCCGCCGCCGGCCCGCGGGACTGACCCAAACACAGGCTCCTGCTGCGCGCGGTGGCGCGTGATCGCTCGCGCCGCACAGCCGCGCGCGCCCGAGCCTGCGCCACCCCGGCCCGGGTCCCCCGGCCCAGGCCCCGCGGAGCGATGCTGCTGTTGGTGGCCACCTTCTTCATGGCGTTCGTGCTGCTGCTCTACATGCTGTCCCCGCTCATCAGCCCCAAGCCCCTCGCCCTGCCCGGGGCGCATGTGGTGGTGAGTGATCCGTGGCTGTGCCGCCACCTCCCCGGCCCGCTCGGCTGCCCCGAACCTGCCCCCGGGTGGGCCGGCCCCGCGACCGAAACCGGGCCGCCGTCCGCCTTTCCTCCAAATGGAGGGTCACCTGCGGCCGTCCACACCGGCACTGTCCCCGCGGAGGGTCTCGGGGACCCGCCCTCCGCTGCGTCTGGCTCCTCCCGGGCCCGGAAAGCGGGGCGGGCGCTGCAGGGGCTCGGCAGCCGCTGCTGGTGAATCCCCGAGGCATCCCCGGGATGTGGCTGTTTTTGTCCTCAGTGTTCCCGATGAGTCAACCGAGCGGCAGAGAGGCTGAGAAACTTTGCCCCGGACACCGCGCTGGGTGACCGCGCAGGGTGATGCGGGCGGCGCCCGTCCGGTCGCGAGGAGGCGGGCAGCAGGGAAGGGAGTCCCAGCCGCCAGGACCGGCCGAGGCAGCTCGGCCTGGAAGATGGCCTGTGCGAGTGGCAGAAGGAGCAGTGGCCAAAGAAATCTAGGAAGTGACTCACATGGGGGAAAATTGGTCCGAACCCAGTGGGCCGCCGGTCCTGGCCTGCGGTGCTGGGACGCTTCTGTCCCGTCTGCACTGCAAACCTCTCTCTCGGAGCGCAGCCCTCAGCCCGGGGTCGGCTGGTCGGTGTTTCAGTGCAATCCTCTGCCATCAATCAGAGTCAGAGGGACGAGCCAAACGACCTGGCTGGTGCTTTTAGGGATGGGTTTGTTTCTTACCCGAAGCTCATGTCTTCAGAGATCCCTTTTCTACAAGGGTGGCACCTCTCTTAAACTGAGCGAGAATGCCTCCTTACCTGCGCCCAGCACTTGACCATTTGCGGTTGGCTTTCTCATCCGTTTTCTTGTTTGGAACTCCTCACCCCGGTGCACACTGAGGGCGGAGATTATGAGTAAGGAGAGTTAGTTTAGTGATTAAGCTGGCAGCACGAATCCTCCTGGTGCCCAAGGTCACATTCTCGAGTTTCCGCTAGGATAGGATGGGCATTTCTTTGAGTGTGCTTTAAATCTGGGCAAGAGTTTGTGAGTGAGAAAAGGTATTTCCTTTTAATTTCTTCTTTGTAAAACTAGCAGTAAATTTCCAGTTCCTGTTATTCCCGATGTGGAAGGTAGATGAGGAGGGGAGTGTAAATTCTGGAAGAGAG